CCTAGACAGGTTACAGGGGTGGGCAGATGAGAACAGGATGGGTTTCAACACTGACAAGTGCAGGGTACTGCACCTGGGGGGAAGAACCAGCAGCATACCTACAGGCTGGGGAACTCCCTTCTCATCAGTGCAGCGGCAGAAAAGGATCTTGGAGTCATTATTGATGCCAAAATGAACATGTGCCGACAGTGTGGGGACGCGGTCAGGGAGGCCAACCACACCTTGTCATGCATCCACAGATGCATCTTGAGCAGGTCCAAGGAGGTGATCCTTCCCCTCTATGTGGCACTGGTCAGGCTGCAGGTGGAGTACTGCGTCCAGTTCTGGGCACCGCACTTCAGGAGGGATGTGGACAACTTGGAGCGGGTCCAGAGGAGGGTCACTCGCATGATCAGGGGCCAGCAGGGCAGGCCCTACGAGGAGAGGCTAAGGGACCTGAACCTGTTCAGCCTCCACAAGAGAAGGCTGAGGAGGGATCTAGTGGCCTGTTACAAACTAGTCAGAGGGGACCAGCAGGCATTGGGGGAGTCCCTGTTCCCCCCGAGCACTACCAGGAGTGACTAGAAATAACAGTCACAAGCTGGCAGAGGGTAGATTCAGACTAGACATCAGGAGGCACTACTTCACTGTCAGGGCGGCTAGAACCTGGAACCGACTTCCAAGCGAAGTGGCGCTGGCTCCTACCCTGGGGGTCTTTAGGAGGAGGTTAGACGAACACCTTGCTGAGGTCGTTTGACCCCAGTACTTTTTCCTGCTATGGCAGGGGGTTGGACTTGATGACCTGCTCAGGTCCCTTCTGACCCTACCAACTGTGAAACTATGAAACCAAATTCTCTCCCCAGATGTGGATGAAACATTCAAAGTGAGCAGTGGGTAGTACATGTCTTTAAAAGCAGAATTTGGCCTTATATAAATCATCATCATCATTGGCAATCCCTCAGGTGAGGATGATTATCTTATCTGTGGTTCCAAAAATGGCTGATGAGGCCAATCCAGGGTCAACAGTCTCTGTTGCAGCTTGGGCATGTTTCCATTTGGGGTGGGTGGCTCTGGGTTTTTAGTTCGGTCCATGACATGCTGTTTCTGCCACTCCCATTTTTCCATCTCCTGTTGTCATCAAAAGGTTCCAAAGTACTGAGATCCTTGCAGCAGACTCTTCCTCCACTTGGGGTGATCCCAGGTGATAGTCTCCCATGAGATGATACTGATGTTGCATTTTTTCAAGTTGGCATGGAGGACATTTTTAAGCACTTTCTCTGCCCTCCTCTTGAGCGTATGCCTTGACTGAGCTGGGCAAATAAAACTTGCTTCAGGAGTCTGGAGTAGAGTGGCCATCATAGAGGACATTCCAGTTTTCGGCTACTCTGTCCTCTACTGATATGAAACTGGACACCTTTTTCTTTCAAGAGAAAAATAGAGGACATAAAAGTGTCTGGTTTTGTATCAAAAGAGGATAGAGGACAACTGAACTGTCCTCTATGTTGGCCACGCTAGTCTGGAGTCGGACTTTGATGGCACTGAAAAAATCACACATATTGTGGATGTCAGCAATATGTTGAATCTCCTTTGCCTTGTCTTCCCACTATCTCTTCTTCATATCATGGGTCCTCCTTTAGACCTCTGTATTGGCTTGTTGGAGATTCAGTTTCTTTTGCTTGGAGTTGATAGCACCACCAGGATGTGGTGGGGACAGTAGATGGCAGTGCTTTCCCTCCTGAAAAGCCACATATGTCTTTGGATGGTGCTGTGACATAGCAAGTTCAGATCACCATTATAATAAACCTGCCCAGCCCTGCAGCCATGGGTCTACAAGTCTTCAACAGCAGAGCAGAAGAAGACATCAGAATCTCAACAGTTGTTAAGGTGGATGAAGGCTGCAGCAGAACGAGATCTCCAATTGTCTTGGTCTCCTTGCCATTGGACGAAGGTCCTGTTCTGTCAAGAACCTTGTGGAAGCAGGTTCTCCACAATAAAATACATTTTCCATGGAAATGGCTTTTCCAGCACATTTTTCAAGTCCTTTGGCAACCAGCTGATGATGATGGAAGCAGGACTGTGAGGTCTGGAAGCTCCTATTCATGAACTGGTATGAAGGCAGCAGTTACATGAAGGCTGTCTAGCACTTGGAGCCAAGAGTGTGATTCAGCCTAAGCAACCTTCTTCCAGATCCACTTTGCTCACCCTACATGAGGAGGGGGCTAGAAAAGGTGTCCTAAACATAGTTTGCCTACCTTTTTCTTGACTGGGTAACTGCAACTAGTGAAATTAGCTTTACTGTAGTCAAAATCAACAAAGACACACAATCAATTTTGGGACAGGAGACTCATGAACAATCCTAATAGTTAGGGACCTACTGAATTCATGGTAGAAGTGGGCTGTGCAGCAACTCCTTTAATCATGCAGGTTGGCCTGCACACCCCACCATGTTGCTGATTGGCTGAGGGGCCCCGGTAGCCCTGCTGTTTGCTGCTGACCAGCTGGGAGGCAAAAACGACACTATATTTAAAACCAGTTTTTGCTTCTCTGCTGATTAGAAGCAAGTGGTACAGCCCCTCCATAGGGGGAGGCACATGGGAGAACCTGCAAGATTAAAGGAGCTGCCGCGCAGTTAACTTCCACCGTGAATTCGGTAGGTCCCTATTAATAGTGAACACCCAGAGCACTGTACTGCAATTGTGGCTTGAGAACTCAGATGACACAACATGGATATTGCTGCACTGAGCGAAACCTAGCAACCGAGAGGTGGGCAGCTCAAAGAACAAGGAGGTGGCTATACCTTCTTGTGGAAGGGTAAACAGGAAGGAGAACGCTGGCTTCGCAGAGTTCGTTTTTGCCATCAAGAATGAACTCATAAACCAACCCAATGAGTTCCCTGTCAGAATTAATGTGCACCTCATGACTCTCCATCTTAAACTGTCAGGGAACCAAAACACCACTGTCATCAGCTCATCTGCCCTGACTCTTGACACCGCTGTCAAAACCAAGGAGGAATTCTAGGCCAACCTTGACCAAATCCTTTCTGGCATTCCAGAGAAAGACAGACTTATACTTCTCAACAATTTCAGTGCCAGAGCTGGAAGAGACTCAAACCTCTGGAATGGAACCATTGGCAAGGAAGGAGTGGGAAATGCCAACTCCAGCAGTATCCTCCTTTTGACCAAATGCACAGAACACAGACTCACCATCACTCAGGGGCAACACGTAGGGGGTGCATGTAGGTGCATGTGCATTCCCTGAGCGTGGCACCCCCTACAAAAAGACACTGGAGGCACTTGATGGCTGGCAGCACCTGTGGGCAGTCTGGCACCGTCTCTGGGAGCTCCACTCTTACCGCCACCGTGCTCCCGCTGCTGCACTCCTGCCACTGCCAGCGCAGCTGTGCCCCCCCAGTCACTGGGGGCACGTGTCCTTCATGCCATCACTGACACCCTGTTCTGCCTGAAAAACAGGCCCAAGACATCATGGCAACACACACAATCCAATCATTGGCACTTGATTGATTATGTCAGTGTTTGTGCCTGGGATCGCAATGATGTCCACATCACCGGAGCTATGCTAGAAACTGATGATTGCTGGATCAATCACTGACTTATCTGCTCATTTATGTCATTCAAATTGGCTTCCAAATAATGGTTGCAGCAGAAGCAATGCTGATGGAAGATCTAGGTCAAAGTACTCAAGGACCCAAACAGGTGAGATCTCTTCCACCAGTGCCTCAATGAAAAAATGGGGATTTCCAATCAACAACAACAGGAGAATGTTGGCAGTACTTGGGGGCCTTCAAGTCCACTGTCATCAACGCCTGCAAAGGGATGCATGAACGATGCGTGCCTCCTGAGGCTGGGGGGGCACGAAAACTGTCTGCAGGCAGTGGTGTCAGCAGCAGAGGTGTGTCAGGCGGTGAGCAGAACTGCCCTCAGGTGGCCGCGGCAGTGTTGGTGGTGAAGGCAGGCCAAGCGGGGACCTCCTGCATGTGGCTGCAGTGATGGCGGCGAGGGCAGGCTGAGTGGCCATCCACAGGTGGCCGCAGTGGTATCGGCAGTGAGGGGGTGGCGAGTGCTGACCGCCCACAGGCAGTGATGCAGGCATCAGCAGTGGCCAATTTTAGGGGGAGTACATCCCCCTCCGTGCCTCCCCTACGTGTTGCCTATGAAGGGATGGGTGGATTTTCTACCAGGAAACATCAAGACTGGTTTGATAAGAATGACTGTGAGAGCCAAGAGTTGATCGACCACAAGCACAAGGCCTTTTGTACTTGGTAGAATGACCTAATACACATATACATACAGAAATTAGGGAATTACATACAAATGTCCTCAGGCAGGTCAGTAATGCACATTAAACATTTACAAGTGTCTGATTTGTAAGTGGAGATTGTTAATAATTCTCTACTTACCTTTCCGGATTTGAAATTGACCATAACCTCATTTGGAGAATCCTGAGTTTGTACTTTGGGCCTACTACAGTCCCTGTGGAAAATGTCAAGGACATTCTTTGTACTTCATCCAGATCCTGGTCAAATCCAGTTAGCAAAATAGTTTGTCTGTGTTGTTGAAAAACTGCAGCTTCACTAAAAAGAAAACAAAAAATGTATGATACACTAACTAAAAAGAAAATGGCATGCTGAGTAGATTCAGTGTAACATTAAAAGCAATGGTTGTGGGAAAGAACCGAAAACTTTGATTTGCTTCTGTTTTTCAGTGGGTTCGGTTTGAATTCAGATATCTAGAACTGAATACACTCTGATTATTCGGGTACCTAGGCACTTCCAGAAGCCATAAGGAATTAATTTCTCATTTCTTTCAGGTGTGAGTAAAATCCTATGAGAATGGCTGTCTGTGAGACTGTTGTCATTCAAGATGGTACAAATCTTGGGAGATCACTTGCATTCTACTGCTGTGGAGTGAAATCTTGTTAGTGCAGCTCATAAGATACTGGCACCATTGACCTCAAATGATATTCCTAGCTCCAATTCTGACTTGATCCTGAACTCAAACTGCTAGACTAACCCCTGCTTCCCACATGGACCTATACATTTAATCATCCATGCATACTAAATGACGTGCTGAATACAAAATCCTATATTAAAACTACAGTAGATTTCTGATTTAGAGCTATAAAATGGAAGATTAGGAGTTAAGATGCTGAGGTGTCTTAAATCAGTTACTCATAGTGGTTTTAGCTGGCCACAATACAGGCCTCTATGGAACAGCAGATTTGACAAAGTTACGTTACAGCATAACATTAAAGCCAATGGGATTTCATAAGGGATGGATTTGTCTCAGTGACTTTTGCCAACATAGCTCATTTTATATTGAGATGTTGCAGGAAGCTGCCCTGGTATGTCCACAAGCAACATACACAAAAAAACTTATGCTATGAAACTGCACAGGTGAGCAAAGACAGCAAGGAGCAATGGTCCCAAGTTGCAGCAAGGGAAGTTTAGGTTAGATATTAGGAAGAATTTTCTCACTAGGAGGGTAATAAAACATGGGAACAGGTTACCCAGGGAGGTTGTGGACTCTCCATCCTTGGAGGTTTTTAAGTCCGTGTGACAGGGGCAATCTCCCAGGCCCAGTTACAGTACCACTGTACAGCCACCTGTCTAGGGAAGTCTGCCCAGTTTTACCTGCCATGCCTTGTTAAAATAATGGTTATAATCTGTGCGGGAGGCTGCCCATCCTGATGCCTAGGGATTTTCACATGACTCCGACCTCCCCTTATCATGTCCCATGCCTCATAGATGGCATCCTTAAGTTGCTCTATGCTTCAGCTTGAGGCTGGGACAAACTCAGCCCCTTGATAGGCTGCACACATTCATCCTTTCATTCCCCACAACGGGCCTCATTCACACCACCCACTTTCACCAGGCCTCTAGCACTCAACCCACCCACTGGGCCTCTTACTCGCTGCCCCACATGGGGCCACACTCAGCCTGCCCTGCTTCCTTGAGTGGCTCCCGTAAGGCATCAGGCTTGCCTACATGCACTCCCTGGCTGGCCCTGGATTGCATATTTGTCTGTGTGCCTGTTGACTGGGGGTGGTTATTATGGGCTTGGGAGCCTGTGCTGTATGTATTGTGTAACCTCAGAGGGTTGTAGATAAGCAAGTGACTCTGGCATAAGCAGTGTGCGACTAAGAGCAAGTGACTAAGAACATACAGCTAGAAATACCACTCCACTGTCACTGAAGAGTACCTGAAAAACTTGTCTGGCAGGAAACATTTGACTGCAGCCTGATTCGATGAATTATACCGATTTGCGTGACCACATATGCACAAATGACCATTTCACTCTTGAAAATAAGCGGCATATTTCTTTGATGCTACATCCTAAGGGCTAGAGCAAAGGCTGGTGTAACTTTGTGCAGTCTATGGAAATTACATAGTGTTATGCTAATTTATGGCAAATTGGGTTTGGTCCTGCCAGGTGTAAGCATAGTGACCCTTGACGCAGAACTCCCTGTACAACCCGCTTCCCAAAACCATGTTCTGGTTGGTCTAAATGACTTGCTAAGTTTTGTGGCTTGTAAAGCCAGTATGACTTACTGGTTGATTCTGGATTTTGCTGTGTTTCCAGCTTGGTCGGTCAATTTAATTGTGAGGGAACCTCTCCTCATATTTTGGTTCCAGGTAATGACATCCACAAAGTAATGATAAACTGTGAGGTAAACAAAGAAAGAGTATTGTTAGACGAGGGTTAGATGATGCCTCTGCAGATGCTACTGTAAAATCCCTCTGCACATGCTACTTTGCTGAGCTGTGCTGTGCAGAGGGACTTTACTGGCAACCTGCATAGAGAGGTGAAGAATCAGGCTGGTGCCTGCATTTGTGATGTTTGCTATAAACTCTGACCAAAGAGCAGGGTGTGATGAATCCTTCCAGAGGTAGAGCACTAATTAGTGATGGGGTTCAACCAGACCAAGAGCTTGAAACAGTGTGATTAGAACCTGCTCTACTCTTTGTTTTCCTTTCCCTTCTGTGTATGCTGCTGCCCACTGGGAAAAATTAAAAAATAAAATAAAATAAAGCAGAGTGAAAACAGACAATGGTTTTGGGAAAAAAGTCCTGAACGCCACCTGTTATGCTTGTCCAAGGGCATTCAGAAGTACATGACTCCAGGGACAAGTGAGGGAAAGAATGCTGGCAGGCTGGCAAGCCGAGAATATATTGTGAACATAAAGCAAAGCTATACATGAATTGCCATAAACAGATTCAACAAAAAGTAACTTTAGATTCTCATGTGAACCTTCAGCACATTCACGTATCTCTCACTTCCCTTAGTTCTGTTCTCTGTTAAACACCAAAACAGGACAGAAGCCTATTTTTTCTTTCAGGTCACTTTTAAGAGTCAAAGGCTCAGTTAACCCAAGGAAGTCATGCCACTGGCTACAATGGGAACAAAACTGGACTCTGGGACAGTTACTGCTCTTTTTCCTAAGTTTTTTTTCATTTATCACCACCAAATCTTCTAAAAAGACAACAAGTCTGTACCAGCACACCCCTGCTTAACTGGTCTGTGAAAGGTTCCTGTTCTTTCAATTGTGCCATTTTGGAGCAGTACAAATGCATTTTCTGTGGCCAGAAGGCCTGTGTGTGTAACTTGTTGCGGGATGTCCCTGCTGGCTAACCACCTGTCCTGAACGCTGTGTATTTGTGCTGTTGCAGAAAGGGACAGTCCTCAGTGTGCCTGTCTAGAAATGTGAATCACTCACTGCAAAATGGTTCTTTGTCAGCTGTATCAAAAAAGGCTTTAGTCACTGGAGGATCCTTTTGCGTTAAATGGCTTTTCCATTCATAAGCATAGTATCCTAGAGAACAGAGGGTAAAAATATAATAAAAAGTTACTAGAGCGGCTGTGGGAAAGACAGGTTGCATTTGATTTATACTATATTACTTTTCAGCCACAAGAAGAATATTAAAATTAGTTACTGATCAAATATACTGCAGATGAAGCCAATCCCAATAATCTGCACAGTTACTGCACACTTTTAGTCTTATTCACGTGAGTGAACCAAGACACAGGTGGCAGTGTCCAGAGGAAGGCAATTTAACGGTGCCTGCTTCTGGTCTATCCCATGTTTTTAAGACCGTTCTTTTTTCTTTGGAATAATATACCATCCCCCACCCCATGCACACACATTGAAAGTTGACTACTGGGAGCTCAAGAGAATATTTTCATGGCTTAGATTTAATTTGAGGAAGCCTACAGTTAGGCTCTTAATTCTGTATTTGGACACCTTGATAAGTAATTTCTGAAATGCAGAGCATCTCACCAGATTGATGGAAGTTCAGGGTGCTGAGCAGGTTTTGAAGTGCTCAGCCTGAAACTGTGTCACACCCTTAGTTCCCCATACTGTTCTGCGGATACACTCCATTTCTACACTGCAGCTTCCTCCCCTATTTGAGTTTAAAGTCCTCAAACAAGTCTTTGATTTGGCCTTTCCAGTCCTAGGCTCACCATGAATGCAGACTTCCTATTAAAGTCTTGATGCAGATGTGCAGAGACTGAGTGAAATCACCACATCCATTTTCATTTGCAATGTAAGCTAGGAACTTAACTGCTCTGCCTGAAAGGGGAAAGGTGTCATCTCACCACCAAGCGTTTATAAAAAACAAGAAAGCAGCAAAGCCAGTTTTCTGTAGGTGAGTTTGCAAAGCTTTGAGTCCTTAAGCAGTAGGCTCCATTCTGTTTGTAAGAGTTTCCACAGGAAAAAAACATACGTGAAAGTAAGACAGGTGACTGAAAGAGGTGTGATTCTCAAAAAAAGCATCACCTAAAAACACTTCTATCCACAATGGGTGCTGCATCTTTCTTACCCAGTACTGGGCATGGCAGAGGCTGGAAAATATTGCAGCTGGTACATTTGCCATTCTTGTAATCTCTGTATGAGTCGCATGGGTAAGCAGTGATGTTGCAGCTCTTTTTCAAGGATGACAGGAACAGGAAAACAGACCTCTGATGGTCACATTTGAAATATTGCGATCCTTGATTGCACAAGGAGAAAGAATCTCTCATTAGAAATGAGTTGCGTAACTAAGGCTGGGCAGGTCGGGCACTAGCCCTAGGCATCAATTTAGAGGGGGAGTGCCAGGGAAGCCCACGCTGCTGCATTATGATGGCACATCCCATTACCTCCCCCAGCTCTCTGACAAAATACCCTCCTCCTCAGGCACCACGATTCCTACTTACACTTCTGTTAGAAATCCCAGTGCTGCCTGCCAGCAGTGTTAGTGCTACAGCAAAGCTGTATGATTGCAGCCAGGATAGAATCGCTGCCCAATCTTAATGCAAGGCATTTAAGTGGGGTCATGTCAAACATTGACCAGTGATTTGTAGCAGACCCTGGCAAGCAATGCATGTGGACCATATAACTTCAGGTCTATCACTTGGGGGACAGGTGTTCCTACTGAAGTACAGGGATTGGGCCACAGTCTAATCAGTGCATCAAAGTAATCAAACCACAGGAGACTTCACTGACACCAGGCTCAGACCAGCCCATGGGAGGAGGGAAGATGGGGGAAATCAGAGCAAAGTCAAATATAGTGTGGACTTCCTTTGAAAAAATACCCCAAGCCAGGATGGAAGAGAGCATGAACTTGCTGTGACCAAAGATCTGCCCTTGGTTGTAGTGGAAACTTGATAAATTTAATCCTGTAATGCAATAGCTTAGAAAATGCTCCTTACATGTTTCCATGCGTTATGGAGCACATATGGTTCTGATTTCAATGTGTAACCAGGCCAAATGACAACCTATGCTGCAAACACTTTACTACTTACCACAAAATATAGGGGTTACTAGAGACCTCAGAGTGTTCTGGAGACTTAAAATGATCATTTAAAAATAAGTTTATACAACAACTATGACAACAACACTAAGCAGCCCAGGCTTATTGGGGTGATTATTCAATGTATTTTTTTATAGTTTCCACACTGCAAAGTAAATTTAATTACCTGAAAATATTGTTTGCGGACAGCCGGGTTGGTCAGTTCCTCCATTGGGATAGAAGTCTATGTGTCCTAGGGCTTCTCTGTAACCTAGTCCTAATAAAAGAAAATACTTTTTTTTTCTCCTCTCCCCCACCAAATCATGAATCACAGAAAAAGGGAAATTTAAAATGAAGAATCTGGAACAATTAACACAGCTTCTTTTAGCTTTAGGGTGCTTGGTTGTCTGAGAGATTTAGCTTCTTTGTTCTGTTTATACATCACTGAGGCAAATAACTGTGACCCAGACACCCCATTTTAGTTGAAGGCAGCAAATGGACAAGCTACCTGTTGGGGTCCTTGGCCTTGCCTCTCCCCATGCCTTACTCAAATGCAGAGCCTGGACTCCCAGAGCATCCCCTGTCATCTGGTGAGGTGCCACAAACAAAACTGGTCCCACCCTCCTATGCCACAGAAGATCCATGAGTGGATGGTCCCTTCCATGCACACACCAGGGAGGCTGAGGGAGAAGGGCACAATCCCATGCAAAGAAGTGGATTCTGAATGGGATGCTGAAGTGAGGAAGTGTGCACAGTGGGAGTACGCACAAACAGATGATGAGGTCCTATTGCTCTCAAAAAGCTGAAGCTGCCGGAGTTGTGGGGAAGCTGAGCCTCTCCATCATAGACGGAGAGAAATGTGGTAGCAAGGTCAGGGGGGCCAATGGCCTGGCTGAAGATGTGAACACAGGTAGGTATGGGATGTGCTCCAAGTGGTGCAAGGCTGGGAGACGAGCCTCTGGGCTGCCAGTAGCAGCCTGCTTATTCCTTCACTCCTGGTTAATTTCTAAGTTCCCATCTAATGAGAAACAGGCAAGGAAGAAAGGAAACATCATTACCATCAATGTCGGAATGGATGACATCCACAAACTGGGCGTCTGAAGGATCTAACCTCTCGCTATGGGGTTTCCCACGGAACAGGGGTCCTGCTGGGTCAAGCGCTGAAATGCAAAATGGTTCTTATGGCACCCCTGTAATATCGTACCATTTACAATGTTCTCTATATTCAACATGTGCACCAGCTGAGGCAGAGAGATGAAGTGACTTGCCAAAGACAAGAACAATGACTGGGAAAAGGGCTTACCTGTGATTCTCCCAAGTCTACCATTATACATCTGTCCCACGAACCCAGAGATATGTGCACCAAGGCTAATTCCTATCATATAGATAGAGTCAAGTGATGCTCCTTCAGCCTGCAATTTAAAAATGCTGTGATCATTAGTTACAGAAATATTAAGAACATAAGAAATATCAGAGGCAGGAACCAGCTGCTGGCCAGGTTTAAGTTTAATGTTAACACACCTCCCTATTTTTACCCCCACCTCCCCCAGTCATGTACTTTTATCAAAGCAAATACCAGAACTCTTGGGTACACAATGCTCACTGCAAGAGCCATCCTTTTACCCACTCCATTTATCCCACCGAAAAGATGCTTCAAACTCAGTCCCCATCTCTACCATGGACCTGATAGGGAAACTCTTTGGCCAGTTTCCCTGGGCACTAATTCATTATTATGTGTAACCAAAGTAAAGAATTTGGCACACCAGATTTTTCTCTTACAATAATTACTCTATCCCCTTTAAAAAGAATTTGCTGTCCCAAAGAATCTCATGTATTTATACATTTCCTTCTCATAATATGTTTTATTTAGTACACAGTTACTGTAAACATCTCTCTTACCAACATTCGGTCAATACGCTCCTTCAAGAATTCAGCGACCTTCCTGGTTTTTCTAAAAGCATTATGGTATATGAGAGTTGTGGCTCCCCGATTCCAATCTACAATAATTATGTTGACATCTTCAATAGAAAGCAAAAGCTTTATTATATCTTGGATCCATACTGGGGGAGAGCCTGTGGGTCTGTATCCATGGACAATGAAGATGGATTCCTTGGTCACATTCAGATAGTTGGAGGCCACTGTACTGAGAGTTTCAGCACAATGCTGGTTTTGCCTTGTGTACAGCAGTAGTTTCACCTTCAGGTCTGTTCCTGTCAAAGCACTGCTTATACTGAGACCTGTGAATGCTGGACATGCTTCCTCTGTATCTGAAAACAAGACGTTATAGGAGGTCATTATCAATCTGATCAACTTCTGTGCTTTTACCCCTATTGGCCAAAGCCAGACTGACAGATGATCCACATCCAAAGGTTACATTTCCCTTCTTGCCTCCTCCTCACATGCACTGCTTGGGGCATCCTGGGACCTCACCTTCTGCCCTGGTGTTATGGCAAGAGCCTTGCTCCTAAGCCAGTGTTACTCCTCTCTCAGATTTCTGGTCTGTCTTCACAGTATCTATACATCTGCACATTTCTATTGTGCTCATCATCACTCTTGTGCCTGAGCACCTGCCAGTCCAGGGTGGAAATATTAAAACTAGGGCTGTGCGAGGCTTCGGACAGAGCTTCAGATCCGGAGAAGCTTTGGATACTTCGGTGACTGAAACACCATGTCTGGGTCGAAGAGCTGGCCTCATTCGGCTTCCCGAAGCGCTTCGGAGCTGCCTCGGAGATCCGGCCATAGGGTATAACGGGGAAACAATACAATATCTATAACTTTGTTGTTTTTTGTCTGATTTGGATGACATTTTCAGGGGTGGTAGACTCTGTGGAAAGCATAAAGCTTGCCAAGTTTCAAGAAGATTGGTGCAGGGGGTTGGGAAGAACTGCACCCCAAATTCTTGAAAGCAAAACTCCTGTCACATCTATATGTTACAACACAGGAGGGTCAAAATTGCAGGGGTGGTAGCCTATGCTGAGGCCACAAAGCCTGCCAAGTTTCAAGAAGATTGGTGCAGGGGTTTGGGGGGAACTGTCCCTCAAGCTGTGGACAAGCAAAACTCATGCCATGGGTGACACTGCATGTGTTAAGGCGCAGCAGGGTGACAGCTGCAGGGATGGTGGCCCCTGCTGTGGCCATGACGCCTGCCAGCTGTGGAGGAGATTGGTGCAGGGGGGTTCTGGGGCCCTGGTTACCAGTTACCAATCAATCAGTCATGATTCACTCAGGGACCAGCTCAATACACAGGACCTAGCTATGCCATCAATTAGCACTTACAAAACCAGGCTAAGGAGAGGAAAGAATCAATACAGACAACTGCCCCAAGACAGACACAGTCAGTCCCACAAGCACCCATGGCACGAGTTTTGTCCATCAGCAGCTAGGGGTGCAGAGCCCAGAACCCCCCTGCACCGATCTCCTTGGCAGCTGGCAGGCATCGTAGCTGCAGCAGGGGCCACCATCCCTGCAGCTGTCACCCCACTGAGCCTTAACACACACAGGGTCACCCATGCCATGAGTTTTGCTTGTCCACAGCTTGAGGTGCAGTTCCCCCCAAACCCCTGCACTGATGTTCTTGAAACTTGGGAGGCTTTGTGGCTTTAGTAAGACCTACCAGTCCTGCAGTTTTGACCCCCCTGTGGTGTAACACATACACGTGACAGGAGTTTTGCTTTCAAGAATTTGGGGTACAGTTCCCCCAAAACCCCTGCACTGATCTTCTTGAAACTTAGCAGGCTCTGTGGCCTCACCAGGGGCCACCACCCCTGCAGTTTTCACCCCCCTGTGCTGTAACACACAGCTGTGACATGAGTTCCCCCCAAACCCCTGCACCGATCTTCTTGAAACTTGTTAAGTTTCATGCTCTCAGCAGAGGCTACTGTCCCTGCAAGTTTCATCCAAATCGGACAAAAAGCAACACAGTTATAGCTATGTAATTGATCCCCGCATTATACCCTATGGCCAGATCTCCAAGGTGGAAACCCGGTCCGGAGCTCTGGATCAGATCGCGGCCATCCAAAGCGGCCGGATCCAAAGCCGGATCGGATCACTGCTGACTCGCACTGGCCTAATTTAAACTCTTTTAAATACACATTTTTATTAGGAATTTATTATTAACGATTGTCATCATTGTAGCTGTAAAGGAGAAGGTGCAAATGGAGCTGAAGAGACATTACCATTCAGCAGAAAGCACTGTTTCCACTGCTTAGCTCTGTTTCCTGCCACATGTAACCTGTTCTGAGGCCTGCCCATGTCATCATTTTGCTATGCACCTTACTGAACTGACCAAAAGCTTCAGTCTCCGGTAGGGGATGTCCTTTTAGGATCTGATTGGTATTTATTCATACACAGCACAGAAAGCATGCGAGAAGTCTTATAATCTCTGTACCGGGACTGCTGCAATTGTGCAAACTTGATTAATAAAGAGATTAATGCAAAAAGTGATGAAACTCTCAGTATTTTCTTTGGGAGTTTGATATAAACCCGAGATTAAGCATGAATCATAGTGAACAGTTTCTTTGGAATTGGTTCCAAAACTCCAACACCATTTCTCAAGTATAGTTTGTCGTTTGTCAGGATTAACTTGCAATAGAATAAGAAAACCCCCAAATGAGGTGCTTTCTTCATCCACACCCTGTACATGCCCATACTCATACAAACACGTTGTTCTAATATAATTGATGTAAAAAGAACTCTCTGCATTTCCCATAGGGCACTGAGATCACCTTTTCTCTCATGGAGAAAATAGTACACCATGGATGTTGTTGTTCTCTTCTTTTCTCTTGTTGGTGGGAAGAAGTATAAGCTAGTAGACTGGGAATTGCGTTAAGACTTGGGAAAGTTTGGTTTATTTCTGACTCAGCCTGCTGGATGGTTTAGGTCAAGTCACTTGTTGCTAAATACAGAAGTTTCCTTATCTTCTAAAACAGGGATATAGATAATGATCTTCTTTGTAAAGTGCTTTGCAAATCCAAAGGGGTAAAATGCTACATAAAAGGGTTGTCTCCTCCTCTTTCTGCCTCAGGTGTGTGGTATGGGCAGGTTCATCTCCAGAACATGGGAGGCTGTAAATGGTAAACCTGTGCCTGCTTGTTCACTGGAAAAAAACCTTTTACATAATCTCTCCCATCAGCTGTGATACCTGGGGTGGTTTGCTCCATTTCCAATGTTCTTAATAAGGCCTTCACAGATGATTTTGATGTAACTTAATTCCTGAACAGCTACTAGAACCACACTCACCTTCTTGTGGTACCAGATCTCCTTTGCTGCTGTGACCAGGTTATGGTACTTTTTTTGCTTCTTTACACTGGTGCGCACTGTTGTCTAGTACAACAGCAGCAATGAGTAGTACTGCCCTGACCTTTTCACCCACAACTTTGACAGTTGGTGAGTTGCATGGCACAATCTGGTCTGGGGTAATTGTCATAACCCAACAAATGTTGTTTTTCGTCATCTTATGGCATAGGTGGTAGCCTGTATTTATATACAGGCTGTGTGTATAGAATACTTCTTTGTTAAGCCAATTGGCAAAGCACCACCTAAACTACAGGGTTGTGCCATTTGATGTTTCTTGATCAGAGAGGACCTCACGTATGCCTGTGATATGCTGGATCATTCATTGGTGCATATTTCAGGCAAGTCTTTTTGCAGGATAGATTTTTTGTAACTATTCATCACGATAGCTGCTGCACACAAAGCTGTGCATTTCACTGAATCTCAACCATCTCAACCAAGCAGTCAAATTCTGATAACTGGCTTGGTCCATGAAAAGCATGGAAGCAAACTTGCCACGTTGAGCCACATAGTGCCGTACTCATTTCTTCTTGAGCAGATCTCTTCCACTCCACCTCTGACAGTCATTTTCCTAGTGCAAAGGTGTGAAATCCTGACCATCCCTAGCAACTGCCTATGGCAAGACTCAGTCTTTGCCTAAAATATGTTCCCTCAAGCCTTTCACCTGACCTTGTAAACCTGTTTAGGATTGTACAGGCCTCCTTCTTGTTGTAGTTATGACAATTATTATTATGATTACTACTATTACATGCAAATCAAAACCAACAAACAAAATGCATTGATTCCTCCTGAAAAACCTTGAGTTCAATGAAATATCAACTGATAGTAATACAGATGTTTTGATTTTTGAAAACACAGAGTCCAGGATTTTTTCCTCACTGAGTGGAGAAGTGTAACACTCTGGGTAAAGAGTAACTCTAATGTATTTAGAGTAGGCTTGTTTTTTATTATAAAAAAGTATTGCTGAGAAGAATTAGAGGACTTCAAAATGATATTTTCAACTAGAAAATGCCATTTCATCTGTTTCTAAAATTTCAAATCCTTTTTATTTATTAGTGTTTTGCTCAAAATATAATAGTTCTCTGGACACTTTACATTAAACTGTAATTGCTTATGTGCAGTACTCATACAGATGCAGTTTGGGCATGAAAGAGATAAGATGCAATCATTTACTGTGTTTTTACATTTTGGGTTTTGTACTCACTATGAACTCCTCACATTCATCAAGTGTCGAAGACATTTACTGCCAAAAATTAAAATTCACCATTGGTATATACTACAGTATCTGTATAATACGAAAGATACATATATTCATGTTCCATTAAAATCTGAAAAGCCTGCTTAATTTGCTGCAAAAATCAGATTGTTCAGTTTCTTACCTGCTCCCACCCTGCACGTGAAGATGAAGATGAAGATGATGTGTAGCCTCAGCATATGGAATGGACCCTGGAATGGCTACATTCAAACTGAGAGAACCGTTCTGTAATTTTACTGTTCCCAAAATGTCTTTCACATGAGTTCGCTCTCACTTCCAAGCTGCATTTCAACTGTGGGCGCTGTCAGTATCAGTAGGTGTGGTGACAAGCAGGAAGTTACTGTTACAAGGAATTAAGGCCAGTCATTTAATTTCTCATTGCAAGGCTGCTGCTCTGTGAAAGGTGAGGCAGCAGCTGCTCTTACAGGATAATTTATTTTAATTTATTCTGTTTGGGGAAAGACTAATCCAACACATGAGTTGGTTTGGTAATTCAAGCTGAAATAGCAGATTGCCTAGATGGGTTGAAATGAGGAAGAGTATTGCAAGTCTGGTTTTTAGCTTTTTGTGAAGAAAGCTGAAGAATATGACTCTCTCTGGTAGTCTGATTCATATTGGGGCTGGGCCCACTTTAGGTTTCACAGAATCCTAGGGTGAAGAGAGCCCCACATCTCCATATTCTGATAAAACCTGACCTTTCTGCTAGTATCACACTGGCCAGTGGCCAGGCCCTCTGTTCAAGAGAGAAGCTCTGTTACAGAAGTGACCTGACTTCCCTGATTACACAAAACCCTGTAGCCAGGAGATGGGCCCAAAGAACACAGGAGGGCACCTATGCCATTCCTACCGCCAAGTATCCAGCAATTCCAAGGGGATGGCCCTGTTAGATACTGTACTTCTGCAACTGAGCTGGATGCTTCTGTATCCAGCAAAAGTGACCATGACTCCTGCAAGGCAGGGTAGAGGGGAGATATTGGCAATGTTATGACAGCAGCATGTAAGGACTGAGAAGGGAGGCTGCCACTGAAGGGATGGGGAGAGCCAGGAATAAGAGTAAGGGCCCAGCAGGGCCTAAAAAAGGACCAAATGGGGAACAAGCCTGAGAAAGGATAGGAAGGCTGATGAAGAGAGGGAAGAATGAGGGAAACTCTTCCAGGCCCCCTGGTGGAGGGTTTACTTAACACTGTCTATGGGAAGCAGGGCCAAGGTGCATAGTTAATTGCTGTGCTGCAGGAGGGGCAGATACCAGGATAGGAGCGCAGCATTAATTGATCAGATTGGCAGGTGCAGGGAAAAGCTGGGAGGTACCATACCCTCAGCAGCTCTCCCACTCCTGCAGTTTGGCCAAAACCAGCTCAGAGTATGCTGATGGGGGGAGAGCTGATGATAGCATCTTTCTCACACGCTGGAGGGAAGCCGGGCAGGCAGGATGGAAGGAATTTTAAAACAAAAAACACTGAAAAATAAAAGCCACAATACAAATTGTTTTATAAATGTCTCATGCCAGCTGATTTTTGGGGATCTGAGCCAAACAGGGAAGCGCCCTTTTGAACACAAAGAAGAGTGAGGAAGAGTCACTTGAGACACAGCCATTGTGGAGTTCTTGGCCTTTTGGCTCAGATCAAGTGTCTTGGCCTCTGGTGGGCTAAGATTGAGAGTGGTTATCCAAATCCCAAGATTTCTATGCTTGGGCCTGCATATATGATGCCTGCGAATGGATTTGGGAGTACCTGAAGTCCCACGGTGAGAGCCTGGGACGGAGGATGTTCACTGGTTGTAGTGCCATACATGATGTTTAGAATGATTGAGTTCTGCTCATTCGATATGATTTGGAACTGATTTGGCTGATTTGACCAGGAACACACACGTGTGTGTGTGTGTGTGTGTGTGTGTGTGTGGC